GCCTGCCCCGGCTGCCCGCCTCAGCACGGCAGCGCGCAGGGGCTGTGTGTCCTCACAGCGGAGGAGGGGTCAGGCAGGAGCAGGGCCTCGGGCTGTGACCTGCACGACATCCTTGTCTCTGAATTGGAGAGACATGGATTTGAAGGATGGACCTTCCATCCAGTGGATAAGGAATTGGCTGGATGGCCGCACTCAAAGAGTTGTGGTCAATGGCTCAGTGTCCCAAGTGGTGACGAGTGGCGTTCTTCAGGGGTCAGTACTGGGACCGGTGCTGTTTAACATCTTTGTTGGTGACACAGACAGTGGGATCGATTGCACACTCAGCAAGTCTGCTGGTGACACTGAGCTCTGTGGTGTGGTCAACACACGGGAGGGGAGGGATGCCATGCAGAGGGACCTGGACAGGCTGGAGAGGTGGGCTTGTGTGACCTTCATGAGGTTCAATAAGGCCAAGTGCAAGGTCCTGCATGTGGGTTGGGGCAACCCCAAGCACAAATACAGGCTGGACAGAACAGATAGAGAGCAGTCCCGAGGAGAAGGAGTTGAGGATGTTGGTTGGTGAGAAGCTCAACGTGAGCCAGCAATGTGTGCTGGCAGCCCAAAAAGCCACCCGCACCCCGGGCTGCATCCCCAGCAGCGTGGCCAGCAGGGCGAGGGAGGGATTCTGCCCCTCTGCTCTGCTCTGGGGAGACACCCCTCTGCAGGTGGGGGGAGACATTTTTAAACTGAAAGAGGGGAGATTTAGATTAGATATCAGGAAGAAATTCTTGACTGTGCGGGTGGTGAGCCCCTGGGGCAGGTTGCCCCGAGAAGCTGTGGCTGCCCCATCCCTGGAGGTGCTCAAGGCCAGGTTGGACGGGGCTTGGAGCAACCTGGGCTGGTGGGAGGTGGCCCTGCCCAGGGCAGGGGGGTAGAACTAGATGATCTTTAAGGTTCCTTCTAACCCAAACCATTCTGTAATTCTATGACCCCATGTTGTGTTGGAGGATCCAGGGAAGGAAGCACTTGAAAAGCATTTGCAAACAGCCCATCTTCTTCCGTGCACCCATCTCTTCTCTCCCACTCCCATCCATCTGAGCCATGGAACAGGGACTGTTTCCATCAGCACTCCTCACAGCAGGCTGCAGAAGGCACGTCCCCTCTTTTTCGCCAACCAGCATCTGACTTTTGATTCAAACTAAATAGTTCAACTAGTTCAAACTGAGCTATTCCTTACCTATCAGGTTTGAGCTGATACTACCATTGCACTTTGAGACAGAAAGTCCATGGCTTTCAGCTGATGGGAAAGCACTGCATTTTCTTCACCTGCTCAGTCACGGCAGCATGTCACTAAAAATAGGTCTGAGTGCGGAAGCATGGCGCAGCAAGCAGTTCTTATAGTGAGACTGTATACCCCTGTCAACGTGGGGATCACGGAAGGCAGCTAGACACCTCTCCCTTACACACCCTCAGCTGCATCCGAGGGCAGGTCCCACAGTGGCAGGGGGC